AGGGACATTTTTACAGAAGCTGAACCTCCGTAAATTACACGGCAAATTCACCTCGACTCGGGGGAGAAAAAAAAGGCATCGAGCTCTTGATCAAAAATTTCACTGCAGCTTGCTGCTAATAAACTATTGAGACCCCAGCGAGTGCAACAACTTCGCGATCAGCTAAAGAACCTTCGAAATAAGGGGCAGTAATAACGAAGTAACGAACGAAAGACGAGCTTTTGTTCCCGAAGTCATTTCTTCTGGCGGCGTGTTATCTCGAGCCAAGGAAAACGGAGAAAGAAAAATAGCAATTTGCGTTGACCGTATACGACACAATTTTTCTAATGGAACCGGAACGTTATCGAAGAATTTATCGCCCTTTTTAGCTAAGGTTTCTCTCAGGTAAAACATTCAAACAGAATTGAACAGCCGAATTATCACAGCACGATATAACAGGCACAGTAGATAACTCTTTTAGTCGCTAGCATCAAATTCCGCAGGAGGACGAAAGAAATTATTCTTTACTTAAATTTGTAAATGCTACTAATTCCCGTTTGCTCTTAGATTTACTCGAATATATAGAAAAATAAAAATATATCTGTTCAATACATTGTTTCATTATTATATTATTTAATGTAATATTATTATTTTAATGTATACTTAATGTTTCATTATCAGTAATTATCAGTAACTTATAACGAGTTCTTAGTCTGAAATTTCACGACTAAAATATTCAAAAATTAAAGGTCAGGTTAAGTTAACGCGGGAAGCTGGTAGGGAACTTTACCAGGGCAAGGAGCTGCTAATTTTCGCGAGTGGAACCAGCGCGAAGAAATCCGCCGCGAGACACAAGAGAACGGAGCCAGACGAAGACAGAAAATGACGGAACAAAAGGTCAGATTTTCATTCGTGCTCGCTTCATTCGTACTTAAAGGGAGGAACGAGGAGGCTCGGAATTACAGTTTGCAGTCAACGTCAATTTACACCGGCAACTTGGCCGACTTTCCACCAAGCTCAAGCGCTATCGATCCGCACTATTTATAAACATTTCTTTCAATTTGGGTCAAGTCTAAGCTCCTTTGGGCCTCGATGCGAAACAAACGAATCTCAGCGACTCGTTATAAACAATCGTCACAATTTCTCGTCCTCTTTTTATCTCAATTGTATTTGTGTTTCCCGTTGATCAGAAACTTCGTCGATTCAACAAAAATACTTCTGATTTGTTACAGATTTACAGATATTTCATATCTGACTTCGATTCCTAAAAGAAATGCGATTCCTAAAGTAACTGAAGAACGCGCGGCTGAAATCGGCAAAAAAGCAGAAACATCCAATGGTTCGTGTAGGCGGATTAGCAAAGTCAACAAGTCGCACGTCGCGAGAGAGTTTTCGCAAAGACCGCAGAATCGTGTCTCAGACGCGAAATTGCCGCAGCCTCGTTGAATTAATGCAATTTAACCAGACGGAGGGTCGTTCTAAGTCGGCCCCGTCGCCGACGGTTAAACGCGAATGCTCTCGTTATAATCTCGTTTCTCTCGCGGACAATGTTCAAACGCTCGTTCAAAACGAAGACGTCGGTGGGAAAGAGGAATCTCAGCGATTCGAATGCAAACCACGTGCCACCCGCGTAACGCCGTACGTCCATTTTATTCGTTGAGACGAGGCGCGAGAAGAGGGTGAGAGAATAAACGTGAGCGAGCAACGTATGTCTATATGAGTCGCGAGCTCGTAAACCTCGAGCAAGATCTTTTTAGTCGCGGACTGAAAAGCGAGTGTTAAACCACTTTACGAGGTCGCGGCTTAGATGCTTCCTCTAATTCGATCCATAATTCATAGATGTTTTCAGAGATGGCCGGTTGCGACCATAAATTAGCGAGAGACTGGCGTTTGAAACACCTCGCGGTGGAAATATACGACTGAGGAAATATCTGATTATGGCTCGTGCAAATGTTTGAATGTTTTGTCAGTACTGTACGTGTTGGGTGAAATATCTTGGAATTTCATCGGTGGTATAGCGAAGCATGATTGTTGTAGTTATATCGGTCGAATTTGGAATACCCAGCGCAAAAATTAGAAAATTAAAGTTGAATAGGAAGATGAAGAAATTTTATGAGATATGTATTTGATTTCGATTAGAAAAAAGATAAACGAATTAAGACAATTATATGTATACTGATGACCATTTTTTTTTTTTCTTTTGATGGAAACGAATCTTAATTATACGTAATGAATTCTACACAAAGAAAAGTATAATGAGTATAATGTAATATTATATATTAATAATGAGAAAGATACTCTAAAAGATTATATGTTAATAATTAGAAAGATACTCTAAAAATTTCAATTTCACGAACCATATTTTGTGAGGGGCAAAGAAAGGCGGAAAGTAGTTTGTTTTCAGGTTTGCGACAAGATCTATAAAAAAAGTGAGAATTAAAATATTTTTTAATTCTTTTCTTATGCTAAATAAACATAAAACACACACGCATTGTCGCGCTCGCGCAAGAAATATGACCACGAGTATGTAAATAGTCCGGCTCGAGCCATTCATCTTTTTTTCTACGATCCTACATAAATGTAATTCTACGTGAAATTTACAACAAAGTGGTAAAAATATGAAATAAGAAAGAATAACAAAGTGCTTGCTGGTTTTACACTAGAGGTGGGGAATAATTTCATAATCAACGTAGGTGTTAATATTCCATTATGAAAGCTGTCGATAAAAGATTGTCGAGGCGATGAAAAATTGAATTTGTTATTCTGCCTGAAGTTCACAAGTTAATTTTCTTCCATCTGAAATTGATCGATTCTTCGCTCATCGATTCGTCATAGTTGTGAACATTTAATAAAGTAGAAAATTGCAAAGGGTTTGAGAAAAGAAGTTTCTTTCAAACAGCGTTTTGCATTATTTATTATTATTATCGACTTAAACGCGAAAAATTAATAACGTCCTCTCGCGTTTTTTCTTTTGGCGAAAGAATGAAACTTACAACAGCGCTTTCGTTACGTAAGTCTTTGAAGAATGTTCCGGTCAACGTCTCATTAATGCAACGTTCTCTTCACTTAATTTATATCGACATTGATTGCTATTGAAAGTACACTTGGGGAATTCAATTGTACTTTCTTCATCATTGTTTCACTAAGCGAGGAATTCTGCAATTTTTATGAAATCTCAAGAAATCGAATTAATAGTATCAACGTCATCAAACATATACATACATACATGTACATACAATGTTTCTTTTTTTAAAATTCACGTATAAAAATCTTCGCACATCTTATTTTTCGTAACGAAACTTTACCAAAAATCCATAGAGTTTTCTAACAAAATTTTACTGACAATGAGAAAGACCTGTGCAAAGGGGACTAACGAAGTTTGAAGAAAAGGAACGGCGATACATTTTATCGGGAAAAATCGCGATAAACAAGGGAATAGTCGTGGTCGAGATGAGGAGGAGAGCTTGATCTCGTTCGACGAAAGGATGAGTCGGAACGCGATAAATCAACATCGAGACGATTTAAAAGGTGGGCAAACAACGTTAGCAAGTTCGCAAATAGCTTGGCTCTGGACACAATACCGGATATCCACGCGAGGCCCAGAATTCGCGTTTGGCCCGTGGTAAATAAAGACATGGCGTAAATACAGACGCGAAATTCCGGCAATTTTCTATGTGAGTGACCGGCGGCTAGTCGCGCGAAACGCCCCTCTCGCCACTAGAGAATTCACAGACAAATGTAATCCGCAGAGAAAATCTAAACGATTATGATTTCATTTCGCCGCTGAATTTCCATCCAATCTGTTCTCTCCTTATTTCTTCGATTAACAGAAAGAAAAGTTTAATTGATTTAGCGACGGTACGTTGGATTCAACCCCTTTGTATCGCAGATCATTCGAGAATATTCCCTCCGAGTAGGGGATTACCTCCGAAGAATTGACTCGACGTAAATTTCATTTAGCGAGAAAACAAAACGTTCATTTGTACATTTCAATTAGTCGAGGATTAAACAGACGCTCCAGTTTTTGGGGATTTTTATTTCCGGAAAATTATTGTTATAATTATATTATTATTAATTGCAGAATTTACATACGTGGAACATGTAATGACGGAGAAATATCAAACGAATCTTTGACATTTCCTTTCACAATCCCAAAATATCAGAATTACAAATTGCAAGGAAAATTAACACAACGTTCTTTATGGATGAATTACAGTTTCAATTTAAAAATTAAATACATATTTTAATGTTATCACAATCCCGAAATATCAAAATTACAAATTGCAAGGAAAATTAACACAACGTCCTTTATGGATGAATTACAGTTTCAATTTAAAAATTAAATAATTACATATTTTAATGTTAAATTGAGAAATGAGACTAGATTGATTATATATTTTAGAGATATTTTAAAATAAATTGTACATTTTTTTGAAATAAATTAGGCAAATACTTAATTACAGATTTTCACATTAAATTGAAAAACGAAATGATAATTTATATTTCGATATTGATAATTTTAAAAAATGGAGTAAAGTTTTTCACTTATCTTAAATTAATCAATATTAAATTAATTAATATTTTCATATTCTGTAATATTGACGTGATTTTTATTTTCATTATTAACAACGACAATACGAGTAACACGACGGTTTTAAATGGATCGAAAATGTGAGGTTTTCCTTACAGGAAAATTCACCGTGTTGAGTTTCTGTCGATTCAATTTTGCGTGACGCTACTCGCTTCCTTCGAGTAACTCGAGCAAGCTCTTGCGAGCGTCTTAACTACGACGCCACTGAACAAATTAATAGACAAAATCTAAATTACTCCTGTTTCTGAAGATGTACAACATTTAAAACGGAAAAAGGAGGTTTTGAATCAGATCAATTCTAAAACACTGACATTTGTTTGATAGAAAATACGAATAAGTTTAAAAATTAAATTACAGTCTGTAAAATGTTCAAAATTCTTGTTTCTCTTTAATTTGAAATTTGCAGACTGTTGTGAGTAACTATGCTTACCTTCGTAGTGAAAGAATTAGGATAGTGTCATCGATATTGTGGAACTTTTGTACCTGAAAAAATATATAAATAATATTATTACAATACTCCTCGTTACATATATAATAATGTATAATATAAACAATGATATAAACAGGTTGTTCCACTTAAGTAAAGACACAGTGAAATATCTCATAAGAGATTGAAGTTATGAAAAAAACGAAAAATTATATAACATTTGTGTAAGTAAAGATCTGTATAAAATGAAAGTTTGAAGTTATCTTTCCTTAAATGCGTGAAATTCAAGTTCTGTAATCCTACCTAAAATTTTCAAATTTCCATGCAAGAAACAAACTCGAAACAGTTTGACAGAATTCGATCAGAGAAGAATATTGCTCAACCCATGAGTGCATCAATCAAGAGGACTAACCCTTCCTTCTACGATAGTTGTCAAAAATTTTATACACATTCTATATGAACGCAAAAACTTTCGAGTGGCAGAAAAGATTCCATAGGATTAATCCCAAAAAATCATCGGAAGAGAGAACACTCTAACACTTGATGGACGTACCACAATCTATATTGCAAAATATAAATAGTCGCTAACTAGTAGATTTAACTAACTTTAAATCTTCATAAAAAGGAAAAAGAAAAAAGAAGAATATCTCTCTCGAAGAAAAAAAAAAAAGAAAAAAAAAGAATAGAAAAAGAAAATGAAATACAGAGAAGAAGTGTATGAAAGGTAATACACGTTTCATCGAGGAGGGTAAGGAAGAGGGGACGGGCGTTTCCACGAGGAGAGTAACTTTCAATTGAGCGCTAAACGAAAAGGTTAGGAAAGAAAGGTTGGAACAGGGATTGACAGTCGATATCGAGGGAACGAGAGAACGGGAACAGAGGCCGACAGACGATTTCCGGTGATTCATGCAAAGGCTGCTCTCGCGGACTGCTCCATACCTCGGGGCGCGGCACGTATAACGTCCGTCTACGTCTGAATACTTGGTGAGTCGAGCAACGGCCGCCTTTCTCTTGGGGTAGGTCGTTGTGAAAGGGGTCGTTGAAATTTCCGGTTCTATAGTCGGCAAACTCGAGCACCAAAAGCCGCCTGCAGGTATATTTCCTTGCACTGTGTCCAGTCCCAGTATGCTTTCTGCATAATGAGAGCCACACCACGGAGAGAAGGAAGAAAGGAGAAAAAGAAGGGAGAGAGAGAGAGAGAGAGAAATGACGATAAGGGTTCACTAGAGGCTTGGCAGAAGAGAGAGAATTGAAATCCTATGCTCCCCCAGCGGCAGCTACCTCTAATCAATGACGACCGCTTAATAAAGGCTGCTCTCGTCGCTTCAAGGAACTCGACGCTCTCTTCTCTCCTCTGCTAGAGAAGAGAGCTTCTACTATAAGTCTCTCTTCTCGTCGAATTTCTCAGCCGTTCAATTCGTAGTAGTCAAGTTTAGTTGTCGAGAGAAGTTACGTTTTAATTAAATTTCTGATGATATAGCTTGAAAGTTCCATATTTTGGAAATTTTGTATCGTATATTTGTTGCTCGACTGTGTCGTAGTAGAAAAATACCAAAACGAGTGGTAGAAAAATACCAAAGTCAGTGTACTGAAAAATTTCCCCGAATTCATTCAGTTGTTTCATTCGTTCGAGAGGACAACTCGTGTACGTAGCAATTACTAGTTCGCAGAATTTAAATTGGAGTACAGAGCTACAATTAATTAATAATCCATCTTCTCTTGCAAATAAACGAAATTCTGGTTGCTGATTGTAGTTTAGTTATGTTTTTCTAAGTTTCAGAGATGTATTCGGTTCAAAGTCAAATACGACAAAAGTTTTGCTGACGTGCATGTTTGGATTTTGTTTCATGTTTGTTTTGTGTGTTCTGCATCGAAAGTTTAGAGCATGTTCCTTTAGACGAAACGAATATTTTCGTATATTTTTCTGAGAAATGTGAATACTGCATAAGATTCGTATTGTAAATCTTTTGGATTTTCTTTTGTTTAAACTTTACATGCCAACATTTAGTTATTTCGTCGTCTGCTTTACAACTATTACAATAAGTACCTGGTTGTAGTATATTTGAAATATGAAATAAAAATATATTTTTTAAGTCAATTCTAACAGCAAAAAAAAAAAAAAAAACGTGTCAAGCTATGCATTATATCGATAATCTGTCGAGACAAAATTTTTACTTTATTCTCTAATGCATCTTGAATTTTACTTGTACAATATTTCAATTTATCAGAATAATTGTAAAATATATTACTGATAAATGATAGGTATATAAATATTCGGAGTATATATTATATATAAATATTCGTGTATAAATCAATTCATAAATAAAACTTTTAGTTTCGATGACATAGATTCGCATGCAATACTTAAAAATTATGGATCTACCAAGTGAAACGAGTTAAACATGTTTCGGAAACGTTGTAAATTCTTTGTTAAACGAAAGCGCCCGTTGAAATGTAAAAATTTGAAGAGTAACGGTAAGGGTGAAAATATTAGAGAGGGATGGATAATATAACGGAGAGTAGCTCGTCAGTATTAAAGTTGAGGTGCCAAGAACACGTTGTTTTGTTGCGAGTCTCTGTAAATTAGAACGTGGGTGTAACTCAGGTTGCTTTGGTTGGCAACTCAAGCCGCGATAAATAAACCTCATGAATTTGGCGGTCGCGACTGGGTCTGAGCAAACTACCCCTATCTAGTTCCCAGTTTCCAGCCGTCCTCTGGATGGACACCGTGGACAAAGTTTCCCGACGATCGTTCGTCTCGACCACGTAATTACTTGGCCCTCTAAACGTCTTTTATTCTTTTAAAATTTTTATCAAATTACTCGCAAGTATACGCGAAACGCATACATAAAATCTAACAAGGAAAATTTCAACCGTTATATTTTATTTTCTATTTTATTTTTAGAAGATCTTTAGAAGATACAAACAATAATAATAAAAATAATATACTAATATAATAACTAAAATGTTAATATTAATTATGCACACATCTGTTCTCTAATATTAATATTAATATATGTCATTATTTTTTTTATCAAATATATATATATTATTAATATCGTATTAAGGATCAAGCAATAATTTATCACAATATAGTAAATAGTGCTTCAATCTTTCAAAAGCTGGAATTCCCTTTCATAATTCCAACATTAAAAGCTGCAATATAATAATATAAATCACATATAAATTAGTAATATAATATAAATTACAATATAAACTGATTGGAAAGACAATAATAATAATAATTGGAAACAAAAAAGAAAAAAATGTCTAAACTACAAGAGCGCACACATCCTCAATGATCTCAGTGTCTTAGGTTTCTACATCGAATACTTTTTCTCCCCCCCTTTTTCTTTCTCTTTGCATTCTCAACTCTCGTAATTACAATCCTATGTCACATCCAAACTATCGAGACCAAGCTTTCGACAGACTTAACGACATTAAGCTTCCTCCATCACAAGCTGGCGGCAATTTTCCATGGCGTTATACGAGCGATTAACCGCAAACCGTATAAATAGCATCGTCAAATGTCGAGGTCGATCGACCCAGAAACGCCAGAAAGATAATTGAGAGGTTGTAACCGGCAGCGAGGGAATAATAGATCGAGCCACGCGGCTCCTCTATCCTTTGCGGCCGGAAGCAGATGGAAACGTTGTTTGATCTTTCGTGTGCTCGCCATCGACACACGCGATATTTGCATTTCCATTACGATACTGGTCGTTTCTATCACTGCGAGTTGGCCGATCTCGATTCGCGTTCACCTTTCTTTTATTCGCCGTGCACTTTCCATCATTCGGCGGAGATCAGTGATCGACGCGATCGCGAACGAGAGACATATTTTTTTTTTCCTTTCAGGGTTTTCGTCGCCGAAGAACAATTTGTTTCACAGACAATTACATGCTCTCGTGTAATCTTACTTTTCATACGATGAAAACCTTTTTAATCGTTCGATTCTGCTACTTTCTACACTTATGAGACCGATACATAAATCTGTTCTTTTTTTTTTTCGGAGCTTTAATTCCAAGTAGCAATAATTTCAATTCATTATAAAGAGAATATGAGTAGAATTGCCTGAAATTATAGGTAGTTTCTTATCCTTGCCTTTGTGTATTTTTATAAATATTTTAGGAAGATTAAAATAATACAAACATCATTGACGACAAATTTAAACCCTGCTACAACCTTCAAATTCTTCTATTTCAATCGTATTCTTAGTTTAGGAAGTTGAATTTCGTTTGTATGTTGTAAAATATACAAACTCATAATTAATCAGTTTCTGTCATATCGCTTTCTCTTATGATCAACCTTTTAATGTTTAATTAGTATCGTAGTGTGACACCAGTGTTACACGAATTGAAACTATTGTGCACTCCTCTCAACACTCGCAAAATTTTTCGTTTCATTTCAATTCAAAAAACGTTCTATCCACAGATAGATTAACTTTCGGTAACAAAAAAAAAAAACCTTACAACGTGAATGTAGTAATCTAGTGTAACATTGAACAAACAAACTCGTAAGATTGATTTTTCATTGACAGTTTTTCATTTGTACGAAAAACTGGCACGAGGAAGAAATGAAACAGAAATTTTTGTGAACAAGAAAAGAGTCGAACAAGCATGACGTTCCCCATCTGAGTGAGAATAGTCGAGATTATATATGAAAGAAAACTGGAACAACGATTTTATTTTCCCAAGAAACTAGCCCCCTGTTATTTCAAACCAACGCCCGATGTTCCCTCGCAAAAAGAACACTGCTGACAGTACGGGCAGCAGGCACTTCGATTCGGACGATTATTACTCCGGGCCGTTTGTCTCCGAGAATATTGTCTCCCGTCTTGGTCGAAATCCGAGGGCGCACGCTGCCCTCGGCCACTGACTCGAAGCAAGAGCGTGGCTGCGCGACCCGCCACGTAGTTTGTTTTAGCAACTGCCACAATATTGAGACAGGCAAACAATACTACCGGGGCAAGACTCACTCAGCTTCACCGAGAAATTTAAGTCACGATAGCAAACGGAGATCCTCCTACGCTGTTGAAACTCGAGAGACTGCGAAAAAT